GCGGCTGGCTCCGAGGATCGGATGAGAATAACTTTTAAACCTAGATGAAAATGAGCACTTCCTTCTGGTAGCCTTTAAAATGTCTTAAAAATGTCTTACCTTACTGATCAATTGTTTATGAAAAGTTCTTCACATTTTTCAGACAAGTTTTCTATATTTTATGTATACTAGCAATAGCTTTTCTTGTACAATCAGTGGAAAACAAAAATGTAGAAATTAGCACAGTATTTTCAACCCAGCTTTTTCTTTTCATGTTGTTCAGATACCTTGTAGTTCAATTTGATCACAAACACAAATATAATGTTACCATAGCATAGTATCAAAATGGAATCTACATGCTTATATCATGATATGTGGTTTTTCTAAAGGTATTCTGAATTCTTCCCACCATCTAAAATATATGGGTTGGATAACCCATAGCTTTTGTATGGTGACAATAGGCTTTGGAAAAGATCACTAAAACCTATCTGCATTTAGATAAATCCACACCTTGCATTCTTCCCTGTCAAAAGGAGTGTTATGATGCCTGACCCTAATTCTGAGTGTAAACAAATCTATGAATTTGTAATATTAATGGAACTTGATCTGATCAGATTGTGGCTTTTCTCCAGCCCAGAAAACCAGAAGAACTGTGCTAAATTATTGGCGATGTATAGCTTTACTTTTTTTTTTTCCTTTTAATTTATAGCTGTTTGCAAATATTTTCTGTAATTTTATAACATCAATTTTTGTACTATCTTTTTTGAAATATGAATTATGCATTTGATATGGTTGCCTTTGATGTACACTTTAACAGCTGAGGTGTTCCTAACACTGAAGGCTCAATTCACTAAGCTATAATACATGTGCTATTTGCCATAACAATCATTATTTTAAACATTTAATAGGTCTTTTAGCTCTCTTTGCCTCTTTGCCTAAAATAATCCTCATTGTGGCAAACGATAAACATTGTAGTTTAGTAAAAGTATCATTTTATCTGTTACTAACCCTTGGTTTGTAAGGCAGCAATGCTTACTGTTAAAGTTACACCTGCTAGATTTGACAGGTAAGTCGCCAAATTGGGAAAAGAGTCCTACAACCTCAGTATGTGATTGCTGCTAATTGTGTTTATGGTGTGTGACTGTTTGAGATGAATGTACTATTCCCTAATTTGCATAAAATGGTGGGCAATACTAAGTGCTTAATGTTATAAGCTGGCAGCTGTATGCTAACTTACATACATTGAGTAAGAATACTATTGCCGTTATATACTGACAGCGCCACATGGGTGTGGTGAAAGTCACCGCTCTCTGCAGGGAGATGATCTGCAAGTGAGCGAGCGGCGGTATGCTTTTGCTCACTTCCTGATCATTAGAGTCGACATGTGACAGTTTCAATGTTACACGTCGGCTCTAACTATGGGGATGAGTGTAATTCACTCACCCCATAGTTCTCCTTCAACTTCTGCAGCGGGGACAAAACTTAAAGCAGAACTCCAGTTAAAACAAAAATTTTTACATTTTATGAAAATGCATGCATACTGTACTCACTGCCTGGGCTAAATGACAGCCAGTGTCTTTCAACCACCTGGAGTAGCGTCACCACATCAGACTGAACAGTACTGCAGAGAGAGGCACTGATTTCATAACATGGTGATACTCTCAGCAGTATTGAAGACCACCCACTACCGATGCTGGAAGAAGAAGTGGACCCCGGGTGATAAAAAAAAATGAGTGGACTTTTGTTTTGGGGGAAATATTTCATGGTTTGGATTTCTTTTGGGGGTATATTGTTTTTTTTTTGTGTTGATAGGGACCTGTTTACTTTTTGCTGACTATCTGTTTTTGGAGCTTACAATTGTTAACAGCACGCCACTGTATTGCTGAAAGAAAAAAAGTGCAAACAATGTGCACCTAGACCACCTTACATTATATCACTCATATTCATCACACCCCCAATGCCTACAGTAAAAATTAAAGTTAGGCATAGATCGGTTAGGTCTGTTCTGACCAATGCCAAACTTTGCTTCCACTGGTGAATTTTTACACACCTGTATCTGAGGGCTGATGTTCTAACTTTTAGAGGAAAAATAGCTGCCTGTTTCTTGTGCCTTCACATTTAGGTCTGTTCTCAGTGCCTGAAAGACTGTTCTGCCACTGGTCAGTTTTTAGACACCTGTATCTGATGCTGTTTTTTTTTTAATAAAAAAGGCACCTGCCTGTGCCTTTTGTCTTCACATTTGAGCATATTCTCACTAATGAAAAATTGTCCTGCCACTGGCCAATTTCTATCAAACCACGCTTGAGGGCTACGTTTTGAACAAATGAGGATATGGGGATAGGCATACCTGGCAACTTACCGGAAATTAACTAACAATGTTAAAATTTCAGTGTAAATGCCAGTCATTACTGGAACTGTCAAATCGCAGGGATGCCTGCAATGTTTGAAAACATTATATAAATACTATGCAGTGGCGACTCTAGGAACAATATATAGGGGGGCACATAAGATACCACAGTCAAAATGGGGGGGCACTAATAATTTTCACCACTAAAAAAAACTAAAGAAGTATATATGAATAAGATTAAAAAATACGAGAGTAATGCGGTATGCGGTGATACCTTTTTATTGTACTAACCTAATACTTAGAAGACAAGCTTTCAAGAGTTTTTCTTTCTTCTCCTATGATACTATGTAAATACTATGCTATGCGCTATATAAATACTATGTAATAATAATAATGTGGGTAAATAATTCTCTGAGTCACATAAGCGGGGCAGAGCTGAGCCAGAGGTAGAATAGATGGCCGCTGCACACACTGAATCTAGGCTATGGCGATGGGGGGTGGGAATGACAGTCACAGTGAGTAAAATAGCTGTGCACAGTTCAGAGGATGTACTTATTCATTGCAATGTGTAATTAGTTAGGCACCTTGATACTGCAGCTAGCCAGGACGTTCTGATAGTGTCATATGATAGCGTCAGACCTTTTTTGATTGGTTGAAGTTTCAGAACTGTCTGGTTACACATTACAATAAATAATTGAGTACTTTCTCAGAACATCGAGACCACAGCTATACACAGTTAATATATAAGGGAGACCTGCACATTATCAGAGGGGAAGTGGCAATATAGGATGGATCTGTACTGTAATATTAGTACATTACTCCGGACCTATTCTTTAAGCCCCTCCCACTTTTAGTTGCAAACAAGCTATGTGCACATTTGGTGTAATGTGTTAACCCTGCCCACAATTTTACCCCCTACTCTGCCCCTAATTCTTAAGAATTGTTTTCAAAAGTTCATAGGTATGGGGATGGGGGAGTCCAGTGAATGTGCCGTGATGTTGGGAAGTGTTCTTTTGAGCATTGATTTTGTCATGTGTTTTGCCATCAAGCTGTGGTACCGCTGGCCAGTTTTTACTCACCCATACCTGAAGGCTCTAATCTTCTATAATGACACATTCCTGTGGCTTCTGATTTTGCATTTTGGTCTGTTGCAACTTCTATTTCCATCAGTCAAAGCAGGCCTAGTACTGCTTGATGAAAACATAAGGGTAGCTGCTATAACATCCTACAAAAAGCGTTTTTTTACTGATGTAATTGAAATAATAGTGGGCTGGGTGCTGTTGCTGCTTGTAGCTAAATATAAAAGAAATACAAATTTCAATGCACAGCAAATATGCATTGTTAAAGTACACTGATGCATAGCAGGTCACTGAAAATTGTGTGTTTTGTAACAACATATACATCTTTAGGCATCCACCAAACCTGTAATTTAAATATTATATATATTTTCCATGTCACTCTCAAAGCTGTATAAGACCCTCCCCCTGTTGTACGTTATTCTAAAAACATTTTGGGGGATTGGCACAGGACTTAATGGTAGTGCCTGACTCTTTATGCTTATTTAAAAATAGCTTACCTAGTAGCTGTACAAATGGGGAGAATTGACTATCAAGTTTTGTCCCCCTTAATGCAATTCCCTCCAGATCCTCTGGATTTTCTAAACATTTTGCGGGATTTGCTTTACTCTTGACGGATTTAATACTTGCCAGTCCTTAGATGTTGCCTGCATTTTTTTTCTTTTTTAGGTGTCGTTTCCTTTATTTTTTTTTACTGATCCCGCCAGTACCACATTTCCTGTCCTAGGGTGACAACGCTCACCTACCGTACTGTTCAATGGAGGACTAGAGTTGTCACCCCAGGACAAAAAGTGTTTTAGAACAACAGAAAACATCCCCTTCTGCTTTCTACAACACATGGGGAGGTGTTCTGTAGCCCACAGAGAAAGTTGGGAACATTGATAGCTGAGCAGGGTGAGCAGAGGCGAAGTGTACAGGATGGAATTGCTCACTTGTCTACTTCCACCCACTTCTTTCCATGCTGTTTGCCGATCACTATGAATTTTGACAATTCGGGAATCCTATTGGATGCAAGCTACAGATGAATTTACAAATAGAGAAAACAGATACGCGGCAAGCAAGTCTTTAAAAAGGAGTGAGGATTCACCCCTTGACATAACAGACCCCTTGAACAATAATTTATGTAGCTTCTAATTCTCTGTACTTGTCTGCTACATGGCAGCAAAGCTATTTTACTTGAATGTGAATTATTAACCTATTTAGAAAATATAACATGTAACCTTTTAACTTGTTTTAGTGCTGGTTATGTTGTCCCTTACAAAATCCTCTAAATATTACTGTCAATTGTTTTGAAATGTTCACAGACTGTTTTATATGTTCATGTACCTGCCCTTTACAGACATTATAGAATCTTTATGTGCAGTAATGTGTAGAAATGAGGTTAAAACTCCACCCTTCAATCATTTAAAAAGGTCACTAACATACTTATTTGTATGAAAGACACCAGTGCTATTTTTTAGTAGAAAAGGTCTACTATGAGGCTTTACAATATAAATAATAAAGCCCTGCTTCATTAGGAAAAAAATAACCCTCATACACAAAAATATGTAGTGTTTACATAATGACTGACTCAATGACTCATTGATTTGTGGCAACAGGATGCCCCTGGCTTGAAAGTGAATGAGGAAAGCGGATATTCACCTACCCTGCAGTCTGAGCCAGACAACGCTCTGTATACGCTCTCCCAGAGCCAAGCGACCAGAGTCAGTTCCCAAATCCAGGTATTCTGGCTGTCAGTTAACAACTCTTCACTGTTTTAGTATGTTTAACACATAATCAAGTTATTGAATTAAGGTCATTAAAAAATATTTTCCTCCAAACCAGTTTTCCGTATCACACTGTATTTTTCCTTTTAAATGATAAAACCATTCTCTAAAACAGTACAGATACAGGACAACATTTGAAAGAAAGAGAATAATTTTATTCTAAAGTAATTCTTTCAATTATTACTGTGTTGCAGTATATCACTGAATTAAAAAAATTGACTCTTTCCACATAGAAAAAAAGAACAACACATTTAGGGCCGTTGTCGACGGACTTTTGTTTGTTTCTAGCAGGTTTTGCATTGCCATACAAGTCTGTAAGAATGCAAAACCCGCTTCAAGAAGGTCAAAAGAAGCTCAACTGACAGTCAAATGCATCTGTTATTGAATTCTTAAAGTGACAATGCTTTCAAGTACAAAAAACTATAAACAAAAATGTAGCTCATTTGTGTATCACTCGGCTGTAGATCCTCAAATCATCTCTGAATTGGGGCTGACACTGTCCTTCCTTCTGGAGGGTGGCTAATTTTGTTCCCCATTTTCCCTGTGTGTGCTGTAAAGTAGCCACCGCTCCAAGCTCACTTCCATGATAGACTACAATGTCACGTTTAGTTTATTAATTAGTTGGGTTGCCGAAATTTCGTCTGAAAATGGCACTTTTGGCAAAATGCCAAAAGTGCCATCTTTTGGCCGAAATTGCGGTGCATCCATGGCTTCTCTCCTTCCCCCTGGTCGCTGCTATGTGTCCCCTCTGACACAGCGCAGCATCCAGCAGGGAGGAGATAAACTGTTAGAGAGCCGAGCAGGGTGGTGAGAGAAAAGCTGCAAGCTCTTCTCCTGCACCACCCCGCTCAACCTCCTACACAGATCAGGATAGAGAGCGGTGTGTGGACGGAGTCAGCTGTCACTGGAGACATCACTAGATGTGAGGGGGAGGAGTCAGCTGTCACATGAGACCGAGCTCTCCTCTCCACACCGCCTGCTCAGCGTCCTGTGACAGCGAGTCAGGATGGAGAGTGGTATACAAACATTAAGCGATCACTGAATGTTTGTAAATAACTGGACATAGTATGAGTTACTATGTACCAGTTATGAATGAATGGGAAGTGATCTACATAATTTCCTATTCATTCATGATTGTGTACATAGTAACTCATACTATGTCCACAGGTTATGAATGAACAGGAACACTCAGTACAGTATGGAGGATTCCTGTTCATTCAGTGCTGGGGCTGCAGAAAAAGAGATTGAGGACTTTGTGTCCTCAATCTCTTTTTCTATTGTAAAAGGGAAATATCAGGGGTCTGTTTAGACCCCTGATATTTCCCCAAAGCCCCCAACAGTAAAGATAAAACATATTTAATAAAAAAATAAATAAAATATTGAAAAAATTAAAAAGGTTAGAAAAATAATAATTTTCGGTTTTGGCCTGACATTTTATTTATTTCCGGTTGCGGTCTCACAATTTCATTTCAGTGCACCTCTACTAATTAGTTTTGAAGGTATGGTCTATCCAGGAGTGAGCTTTGAGTGGTGGCTTCTTTACAACACACACAGGGACTATGGGGAACAAAAGTACCCACCCTCCAGAAGGAAGGACAGTGTCAGCAAAAATTCAGAGATGACTTGAGTGATACACAAATAAGTTACATTTTTGTTAATAGTTAAGGTACTTAAATGCATTTTTGAGATTTAACTCCTGAGTTCAGTGTCACTTATAGATCTCAGAAGGATCTCAAACTGAAGTCAAACTGACGCCATCCACACAAGCCCAAAGCCTGTCGACACAGGCCCCTAGTTGTACATCACTAAAAAGGTAATATAAATGACCGCTAATATCTTTAAACTGATATGTCATTTTGAATTATTCTTTGCCATTTTAATTTTGAATATTAGAACAAATATGAACTATAATCCCAGCATTGCAAATATTTTCATATTCTTTTTAAAGCTATGTGATATAAATAAATGATGTGACATATTCTAATTGTGTTTGTGAAAAGGGCACATTGACTGATCCTGGGCTTAGAGGCAGTTGTAGAGATCTTTCACAGTACTGTAAAAATCTCTAGTAAAAAATATTTTATAAATCACCTTGCCTAGTGGAAGGCATTAATTTTCCCACCGTGAACAAGCTGAGTAAAAAATGTTACACGGTGGGAGTGGCAGGCTTTAAAGCTGCTAGAGAGGGAAGGAAAAATATTGGAGAACAAACTCAAGTACAGTCATTGTTTGATAGTAGATTAAAGTTACATTAAACCCTCAGATTTTTTAACATAAACCAATACTGTAATGTGTGCCTTACTGTAATCCATGGTAGTTTCACTTCTCTTTGCTGCTCTTCCTTTTAAATCTATATCTCTTCTCATGCTGGGGGAGAACTTCCCTTTGCAGCTGAGTGCCTCCTCCTGTAGTGCTGGCTCAGGTTGTGAACCTGCACACAGACAATGTATTATATCCACAGACAAGGCAGTCTGCTGCAAAACAGAAGTTCTGCCCAGCATGAGAAGAGATACAGATTTAAAAGGAAGAGCAGCAAAGAGAATTGAAACAACCATCTCTTCTCATGCTGGGGGAGAACTTCCCTTTGCAGCTGAGTGCCTCCTCCTGTAGTGCTGGCTCAGGTTGTGAACCTGCACACAGACAATGTATTATATCCACAGTCTGCTGCAAAACAGAAGTTCTGCCCAGCATGAGAAGAGATACAGATTTAAAAGGAAGAGCAGCAAAGAGAATTGAAACAACCATGGCACACATTACAGTATTGTTTTATGTTAAAAAATCTGAGGGTTTAATGTCACTTTAATGTCTGAGAATAGTGACTAGTTACCACCTGCTTAGTCTTTAGTCAAGATCACTGCTTATCATTTTGGATACCAGGATATTCTATCTATAACCCTGTTGCTATTATCTGAAGATCTCAGTTTGGGTGTCGGTCGACAATGACTGTAAATATGTATTTAAAAAGCAGAAATCTAAAGCACTTATCAAAATCAGTGATGTGCTATAGTCATGTCAGTATCCAAACTAAATTTGTTCAAGCTCCATAAGATCCAACATTTGTAAGGCTAAATTTCAAAAAGACATAGGCCAGGTGCCCTTTGTCTGTCAATAGGTAGGCTGCTCTTTTATTAACGAAAATGATAAGAGATGGATATACCTCTCCTCACTAGGACTGCAGTGTAACTTTGTTTGCTTCATATATATGGTAATTCTTAACCAATACACTGCCTAAAAATTGTAAGCCATACTTAAATTAGACAAATCCTTTTCAAATACTGAACTATGCACAAGCAGCTCACACTCTTAACCGCCTTGGCGGTCTGATTATTTCCTTTTTTTTTCTCGTTTTTTTTTTATTCCCGTTGGTTCCCCCCTCCTTGTGACGCGGACGCTCGCAAGGGACGGAACCCGGAAGACAGATGCCGGCATCGGCCGGAGGACACAGCGCGGCTCGAGGAGCAAGGTAAGTAACGCTAAACTGTTATCCCGAGTGTGGCTCGGGGGTACCGCTTATGGTACTGAAAACTAAACCCGAGCCACACTCGGGATTACCGCCAAGGAGGTTAATTACATGGGGGATAATAGAAAAATTGTATAATATGCATGTTGTACTGTGAATAGATGTGGTCATCTTTCCAACTAATGTACGATCTTACCAGATATTTTGACATGTAAGTATCTGCACCTCATTAAGAGTTGTCATATCTGGGAGACTTAGCACATTGGTAAGCATGCAGGGATCAGTCTTTAAGCCGTTTTTAACTGAAACAGGAACAGTCTTTATTTATCCCAAAGGCAGACAAAGGAAATCCAACAAAAATAGCTTGTCTTCAGTAACATTTGCTTATCTTCAGCATATAATACAAAATAAAGTCTCACCGATTTAAGTCTGCTCGCAGTTACAGCACCAGAACTTCCAGCGTAATTTTCCCACAGAACAAACAATTATTTGCACTGTCCAGTATAGCAGCTCACTCAGCTTTCCTCTAGCACACCTGTGCTACTCCAACTTCCACCCTGGTTCTGTGGAGTTTCCTGTCTTTTCAAGCCACTTCCTCTTGCCTGACAGTTAACCCTCTGTTACCCCTTAAAGCGACCATAACCCAAATAAAAGGGACACATATCGCCCTTCCAGGACCCATCCCTGGCGTCCTGTACATATCCCCCACCTCTGCCTCAACACGGAGGTGTTGCAGGCAACACGGGACACTCTACAATGTAACCGAGAGAGGGCATCAGCGTTATGATGCTGTCTCCCGGGTCTGTGCTCCACCATGCAGTTAAATGTAAAAGTCCGGAGCAACCAACACAAGATGCTGACATAATGCTTCTTTAAGCTTTAGAAAGCTGCCTCAGTATTCCACTGGATCATTACCAACTTCCTGCCTTTAGTCATGTCAGTTAAAGGTACAGCGATGGTGGCAAAATTAGGGACAAATCGCCTATAGTACCCGACTATGCGCAGAAATGCCAGGACCTGTTTCTTTGTTACAGGGCGTGGCCAATTCTGTATCGCTTCTAGTTTGTTCATTTGGGGCTTCACCAGACCCCAACCCACAATGTACCCCAGGTACTTGGTTTCCTCCATCCCAACAGCACATTTCTCAGGATTGACCATAAATCCTTCTTTCTTCAAGGAGTCTAGCACGGCCTGAACCCAGGGCAGATGGGACTCTCAATCTGTACTGAAAATTACAATCGTCCAGCTAGACCGAGGTGTTGGACTTATGAGGGCGTAGCGTTTTATCCATTACCCTTTGGAAAGTGGCTGGGGCAGAGTGTAGCCCAAATGGCATCCTCTTATACTGATAATGACCCTCATGGGTACAAAATGCAGTTTTTCCCTGGCTCTCTTTGTTAAGGGTATTTGCCAGTACCCCTTGGTGAGATCAAGTGTGGTGATGTATCAGGCTGGCCCCAACCTTTCTATTAACTCGTCTACCCTGGGCATTGGA